TGTCATTTATTATTATGTATGCTTGTTGTTATTTTGAGAATAGTCGTAGTATATTGCATTATTAAATTACCGAAGTAAATTGATCTAAGTAAGTTGGTTACCGTAATTCTGGAGGCTCTGCCACCAGGTCCAACTTACCTGCGAACTTTTTACAAGCGTGTGATTTCTTAGTGCAATATATTTACCCGCTATTTTCACCCGCTGTGCCCAACAGATGGGAGGACGGGGTAGTGGCAATTCCGCCGAGAGAGAATTAGGGATTTTGGGTTTGTTGAGAGTGATGGAAGATGCGTGAGTGAAAGAAGGGAGTTGGGCTTTGTTGGGGGAGATGGTATGGATGGGTTTCGGGCAATGGTCGATCGCGAGGGGAAAGCAAGAATGGCAGTGGCAGGTTTGGCTTGCAGAACGGAGTAGCAGGGAGGGGGAAATTTGAGAGGGTCTCGAGCCGGAGATGACAGGACGAAGGAAAGGTTTGCGTGTGCAGGGAGACAAAGCAGATAGAAGACCCCAATGAAAAGCTGGGCAACCAATTATCTCTCAGACAAAGGAGATATCCAGGGAATAACCAGTGGCGAGTGGGATAAAAGGTGGGTTTTTGTGTTTCTGTGAGGAATAGAAGCTAGACACGTGAGCCACTGAAGAAGAAACAAGCGAAAGAAACCCAGTCGCAGATGAGAGAGTAGGGGCCACTAATGAACAGTAGTGGTAACCAAGGCTTTTATATATCAAAGTGGCTACGAAGCCAATTAAAGCATGACAAGTCATTTAGGAGCTAAACTACGTATTATTGCTACGATGTTTATATTCTAAAACTAAAAATATATTATTAGCCATAGAAGATACTAGTTGTTACTGACTTACTGTTTAATTGAATCAAGTTATGATGAGCCAAAACATGATGAGTATCGTGGCTTAGGTAACCCAATTCGTGTAATTAAGGCCACAAACCCACTCCAAACTGTGTAAACGCGGATCTCAATCAATTCGCACTAAATTCGAGAATTTAATCTCATTGGAGCGCGATTTAAGGAAATCAAAACGCGAATCAGAGTTCTTCCCTGGTAATTTCGATCATCTCATATGTCTTCAGTTAGGTTTTCTATGGATTCCCTTCATTGGAGCGCGATGAAGAAGTGATCGGGGAAGGAGCAACACGATTCCCCGCAGCCGCAATGGTTCAAGCTTCCTTCAATTCACTGTACCTCGGAGTTATCGAGGGTCTGATCATGATGATGGATGAAAAATTCCCAGAGCTGGGTTTGAAAAGGGAGAACTGCATGTGAATGAATTGGGCGAATTCGATCCTCTACTTCGTCAGGTACTAACTCGAAGCCCCACCGGAGAACTTGATGGACAGGACGATTACTTCCGATGAGACTACTACAAAATTCTTCCCTCTATGTAGTCGTGACGAAGGAACTGAAGTGGTCGAGTAAGGTTGTTAAGGGGAGGTGAAACAATGAAGGAGGCTATGGAGTTACAGCCTTACAAAACGGAAATTAAATAGGAAATCGAGGAGCTGACGATTATCAGGGAGAGATGGATCGACGGCGACAGCTGCGGTCGAAGGAGAATTGGGAGTGGAGAACACGAGAGTGAGGGCGGAGGAAGACTATCCGAAGAGATAGACATTTATTGATTTTCAATGTAGGTGGATTATGAGTAAGTTGTAAAATATTTCTCATATTTCATTTAATAAATTGAAACTTATAATAATTTATTAATTAAAATAATACAATATTGACGCTCTATTCACGCTTTCAGAATTGAATTCTTTGAAAATTAACGCTCTCGCCCCCCGCTCCACGCTCTGGTTACCTAAATCGTGGCTATTTACGTATAACTGTCACATTTATTTTAATCATGGCAAAGATTTCCGCGGTCCAGTATTCTCCCTATAGCTGACTTGAGGCCTTCCCATTTCTCCTTCAGTACCACCATATTAGAGTCGTAAACCTTTTTATTAATTCTTAAATGGTAATTAGTTGAATTAATTAGCTATCATCTAACTAAACCGGCGGGAAGTACGGGTACCCGTAATACCCAAACGGTTACCCATTGTAGAACTTGTTGATCCCAAGTCTCATCCCATAATAAAATTACGGGTATTTTGATTACCCGTACCCTAAAAAAGGGACGGGTATGGATATAACCAAATAGCCGTTTCCCGTTGTCCACCCCTAAATTTCTGAATTTGACTTATCTAGTTATCCTATCATCTTGGGTTGAGGGGAATCAATCGAACTCATAATTAAGCAAAGTGAAAATATTTCTGATTCTCATTATAATTTTCAAACTGTCAACAATGTTGTATTTCAATTAATTAAGTATTGTACTCATTTCAGAAAAAATTGAGATCTAAATCCATCCTTTTTACCCAGGCTTCTATGTGTATGGTAAAAAAAACTATGGGGTCGTTTGGATGGGGTATTCAAACGAGTTATTTCGGCTAACTCATCAATTTAGTTGTTGATGTTGATTTTCTTTTAATCACTCCAACCTCCACGACAAGGTTGCATTCCCCACTAGCACAATCGGACTCGTGTCTGGACACAAGAACATTGTTGTTTAAGCAGCCTAGTGTTATCCTCCTTCAGTTCGGCTAGTTGAAGCTTTAACTCGGCTATCCTTTTCATGTGCATATGCTCTCTATCTCGCATGGTGCGAAGATCGCACCAATAAAAAAGTCACAGTAGCGACTAACTTGAAAACCATACAGCAAAAAATCATCGGAAAGCACTTGCAACCTCCATGTTACCATAATCGAATTGTCATTGATGAAGAGCCATTAAACCCAACCGTTAAACTTTGGGGGTTTTATCTATACATACAATAAACAAAAAACATACCTTCGATTTATAAGTCGGGCATGACCAAAATTGATGATAGTAATCATCGTTGTCATACTACGTTAAATCACTCAGAAATTTGATTTGTTACAAATTTCATCATAAACTATCTAATGTAATAATACAAATAAATTTAGCTTATTAAGAAGTCACCAACTCACAAAATAGAAACACAAAACAATATACAACAGACTGAATCTTTAGTAGCAAACAAAGCACTCCGTTTGTAGGACTTGTGGGTTGCAAGTTTCTCTGCACCATGACGGAGGAAAAATCCAAAATCAAGCAGAGAAGACAAAGAGAGGAAGGAAAGAAGAGGGCGAGAAATAGCAGCATGCAAAAGGAAGGAAGGAATGAAACTACTGGTTTTGGAAACTAGTGAATCGTCACCTTCCTCCACTCTCCACTGCGGCATTGGCCAATTCGCCACCCGCCTAAAAAAATTCCCCTTCTCCTTTTCGATTCTCCCTATGTTTCTCCCCCTCCCCCCCAACAATCTTACGCAACTGTCTCGCTGATGGATTCAATTCATTTGTCATTCCCTCATCTATCCCTCTCTTTCATTTTTCACTCTCTCTTCCATCTCCCCAATTGCTCGCCATTGCTGCTGCTTCTTCTTCTTCGTCCTCACTTTGGCCTCAGGGTTTCTAGTCCTGGGACATGGTTCACCGAATTCTGAGAGGTGGGTTTTGCGATTCCGATCGAGATGGAAACTGGGTCTCTGTTGTTTTTTATGGAACTCGGTCTCTGTTTTTCCCCCCTTCTCTGACACCGTACAGTGTTTTGTGATGATTTTATAATGACCAATCCGCCATCTCTGAGTAAGTTTCGTGAGCCGCGCGGTACACCTTCTTCCTCATCTCCGATGACTTCTTCCGCATTGTTCTTCTTCGTCAGCGTTCTGGTCATCCTCGTTCTTCTGTTAATCCTCATCACCGTCTTCTGGAAGTTCATGAAATTGAACGAGGTGACCACCAAGTTTGCAAAGAAAGACAATTCACTGCAACCTCAAGGTAATAATAACAAACCTTTAGCAAATCCGCTTTTCATAAATTTGTTTAAGTTCCGAAGTAATCGTCACTCTTTGAATTAAGTGGCCGGAAATCTGATATAAGATGATGCACCCGATCAATAGCTCAATCTCTGCTAACATGCAGACGGGTCCGGTTAATATCTTGAATGAGCCTTCCATCAACACATGTTGATATCATCGTTACAAGTTCAATATGGATATTACAATATTTTTGAAAAATTGATAACACAATGATCGAATAATTTACATCGTGTTTGGATTAGTGGTGTTTATTCATACTATTTAGGGTACGATCTGGTAGACAAGACCCTATAAGCTCAATTTCCTACAAATACGATGAATAATCAAACATAGTGATAATTTAGCATATAGTATCATACATGTTTATTCGAGAAATTGTTAATGTTTTCCACATAATCATACAATCATTAGCTCACAGCTTCACACCAATAGACGGGATGTTCGTCATAGTAATTGGACCCCAATAGTTGCCTCGCTACAGAGGAGACTTGGCTTGAATTTCTGTATTTTAGTGTCGTACATTTGAATCGATCTTTTATTTTGAAAGTAATCACCTAATAATACGACTAGACTAATTGGTATTGGATCCATACATGACGATTTTTGCCAACTATGTAGGAGTGGCATCTGAGGTTTTGAGTGGGACTCTGAGAACGATTAGCTACTTCAATTTTCAGGCGTTGAAGAAGGCAACCAAGAACTTTCATGCCGATTACCTCCTAGGGAGAGGGGCATTTGGCCCAGTTTATTGGGTAATTTTACGAAACAACCATTTTGATGATAGAACTAAATGTTTATTTTGTTACACTTTCTGTTGAATGTGTCAAATGAGCCGAGATCGAGTTGATTATTAATAGTGGTCCCGTGGTCCGAAATAAGTTCATCGACAAGATTAAAACTTGATAATCGAGTTAGGTTTGGGCGATATACGTCATGTAGGGTTATGGCTTATGGTTATGTAATATGTATGAGTTTGGTCAGTGTGATCCGAGTTTATGATTTCGATCAGGTTTGTGGATCTGTAAAAACATTCCACTTATTTTGTTTTCCCCCCTCCATTACCAAAGTTGAACATTTTTCCATTATCACAGTTGAACATTTTTGGATTAAACCTATTTCAGGGTAAGTTGAGAGACGGTTGGACGGTGGCCGTGAAAAGGCTATCTTTAGAGAAATCTCTCCAAGGAGAATCAGAGTTTCTGGCTGAAGTGAGAATGATCACCAGCATTCAGCATAAGAATTTGGTACGACTTCTCGGATGTTGTTCCGATGGAGAACAACGACTGCTTGTCTATGAGTACATGAAGAACAGGAGCTTGGACCTCATAGTTTATGGTAAGTAACAATTACCAGGCTATCTATTCTCTTGTTGGTCGAAAGTTTCAAGCTTCCATGGGGCAACAAAATTCTTATTATTGTCGTCTTGCCTTAATTCCATATGCATGATATACATAGAGAATGGGGATAAGATTTGGTGACTAAGGAGGGGTCCTTAGTCGCTTGCCTAAGTCGATCTCAGCCCTTCAACCTCATCAAAATCCAATGGTTCTAATTAATTCAATTAAATGAAGGGCAATGTAGTAATTTCATTATTATTTTATTTTTTAATTAAAAAACAGTTCAGACCTCTCCCTTCTTGCGCGATCTCCCCGCCGGTCCATGGAATTTTGGCGGCGGCGTGGGTTTTTTGGTGGCCCTGGCGGTGGCTAGGGGTTCTCCCCTCCGTTGGTTTTTTTTGGTGGGTGGTTGAGAGAGAGAGAGAGAGACTTCCGGTGCCAGCGGTAGAGATTTTCCGATGATGGAGGTTTTGGCGGCAGCGCCAGTTTTGTGATGTTTGTGAGATTATTTTGTAATGTTTGCAAGTCTATTTTGTATTGATTTTGTTTATATGTTTTTATCATTATAGTTTGTAATGTTTATATGACTATTTTGTATATATTGTAATTTATAATGTTTGTGTGTCTAGTTTGTATACTTTATGTTATAATTTGTACATGTAACATACCATTTCGGCTACAATCGTATTACTGTCGCTAGAAAATTTCACGGTTTAAAATCGAGTGTTTTGACAGTATTTCGGTAAAAATTGAATTATCGATCGATCGGATAAGTATACCTATTATATATATATATTCCGGTCCATTTAAATTGCACCGGTAACTTTCCCTTCCCATTTCATCTCCGTTTTCACTTTTTCATTTCCTGAACCGAGAGGAAAGCTCCACCAGAGGGCAGAGAACGCACAGGGGACGCGGAGGAGAATTTTTCAAAGCTCAATTCTTGAGCATAAGAACTTGAAATTAACACAAGCACAACACCGAGATTTACGTGGTTTCCCTGAGAATCAGGACTAGTCCACGGGAGAGGTAGAACTCTCCAGAGTCAATGTTATTCAGCTTAGGTTTTCTGTACATGGGAGATACATATATATATGTTTGGCATAGGGTATAAAACCGAACCCTAGTAGCTTATTTAGATAACTCTTGCTATTAAAGTAAATTACCAAAAGCTACCTAAACAAACTAAGTCGTCACTTCAACACTACAGTGGTCCAAAAATCTCATAAGTAATGCCTAATTCATCTATACATCGTGATTTATCGATTTAGAGCTTTAAAACGAGTTTTTGGTTCAGGAATTTCTTGAATTCCCGATAAGTCAAATTAGGGTTTCGGAGTATCCGGAAGCCGGATTGAGCCCAGATTTCCTATACGAGCTTCCTGCAGCGAGGTAATTAATCCTCTGGTTCTAATCCATGAATTTCGGCTATTATTTAGGTCGGAGCCGGAATCGCTGAATTTAGCTCCGGCCAGGGTTTGATGTATTTTTATCGAGAATTTGACGAGGAGCCTAGAACTAACATTGACGGGGATACTGCAGGGGATATTAGGACGGTCTCGGATTTTAATTCGGGGTTCGTTGGTAAAATTGACGTTTTAATACAGGAAGCTTAGATCGCTGTTTGAACGGCCAGAACTGGTGAGCGATTAGCACGGCATACCAGGTTTGTCGTATCACGATAATTATATTGATGCTTAGAATTGACCTAGGTGAATTAGAATGGCATGATTAGGGGTGTATGGACTTTTATGCTATATGATGAACTATGGATTGTTGTATGATATTATTGACTTGCCCTAGCCGATATGGACCTTGTTTATGTTGATGATTGCATACATGTTGCCATTTGTGGCTTAACCGTTGATATGACTTCATGGTTGTTCGATCAGGTGTTTTAACATGATGTGATATTGTGGTTGTATTTGGATTCACAAGTGGGGGAAATAAACTTCCCAGGGTGATATTATGATGTTTTAAGGAGGATGACTTGCACGAGGGTTCATCCTTAGGAAGTGCAACTATACGACTCCTAGTTTACCTATGTTGAGCCAATTATGGTCAGGTCAAGTACATGTGCAAGTAACGAATTATGATTAAGCAAGATGGGATATGAATCATGTATAAGGATACCAAATATGAGTGTTGTGGTCTCACGGTCAACTACATAGTAATTAGGGCTCCCTATGCTATTACTCTATTATGATAAGTATGATAGTCACACCTCTCATGTGGTGGTGACTGAAGATTTCTTACGAGATATGACCACACCCAGAGTGGTCGGGGTATGACTACACCCATAGTGGTGTGGGGTATGTATGACCACATCTGACGGGATGTGGGGTATGTTTCCCGGGAGAGTTATTAGCATGGGAGTAGCCAGGCGCCTATAAGTAAAACATGATAAGATGCATATGCATAAGTCAAGGTGGTTGAGCCTTTTGCCTATTGGGATGTCGGATGTCTGAGGTCTGATCCTAGTGCTTTGGCTTGTTTGCTAGATGTATGGTAGGGGTATGCTATGTTATGAACTCACGATGCTATGATTATCTCACTCAGCTATGAGCTGACCCTCTTTTATTCTTTTCCTCTGCTTATGCTATGTGTAAGCAAATCATCAGTAGTAGTAGCAGTTGCAAGTACATAAGTGTGAGCAGAGCGAGGAGTTGAAGGCATAATGAGGTATTGTCTTCAACTATTCTGTGCTTGGACGACTACCTGGAATTTTGGCCAGTGATCCACACCTTTTTGTAAAAATGTTTTGAGAATGTTTTTCATGTGCATACTAGCTTCTGATGTAGTGTGAGATATCCACAGGTGTGGAAAGTTTATTATATGTGTATATTTGTGTAATTGTGTAAGTTGTGATAATTATGACATGTATAAGTATGGTATGCAGTTGTGGAGTATGAAACTGTGACTATGGCTATGAAAGTCATTGTATATGGTTATGAGTATATATGTATGTCTAGGAATGCAAGGATTCAGATGAATAATTTGGCAGGATAAGTTGCAAGAACTGTTAGCCCATTACACGAGTAATTCATGTCGAAATTTTATTTGGGTAAATTTTGGTAATTAATGTAACACCAGTTTTAAATTCCGCTGCAATTATATGAACAATATGATTAGGTAATACGTATGGTAGGGTGTTACAGTACACTTTCTATTCATTGATTTGCAATACAAGTTTACTGATTTGTATCATAAGTAGTGACATTTTGTACTGTTAGTATGTTTTGTAATGTTTGTCGAGTTGTTTTGTAATGTTTGTAAGCTTTGTTATTTTGTCAAGTTCCTTTTGTAATGTTTGTAAGCTTTGTTATTTTTGTCCAACATATTTGTCGTTTTTGTTAACCATGTTTGTAATGTGTTTTATGTATAAATTAATAATACAAAACATACAAACTATACAAATCATACTGACATTATGTACAAAAGTACTAATGATACAAACTGACAACACTTTCATTACAAACCGTTGTTCTTCCTTCAGACGACAAAATACAATGTATCCACCGCTGCCGCCGCCGACTCTCTCTACAGCCGTCGCGACCTCTCTCTCTCTCTCTCTCTCCATCATCGCGCCGCTTCTCTTTCCTCCACCATCGTCGACGCTCTCTCTGCCATTGCCCCTCTCTCTCTCTCCTCCACCATTGTCTCTCTCTCTCCTCTGTTTTCCCGACAACAGCCAGATCTACTTTCTCTCTCTACCACCGCCTCCGTCGCAGTCGTCTTTCCCTCTCACCATCGTCGCCGGCGCCGTTGAGATCTCCTCGCCGTCGCCCCCCTCTCTTCCACCGTCGTCGTCCTTCTCTCCCCACTGTTGCTTTTCTCTCTCTCTCTCTCTCTCTCTCTCTCTCTCTCTCTCTTATGGCCTGCAATGGCAACATAGAAGAGGATGTATGGAGGAAAAATCGCGATCGTCTTTCCCTCTCTCCATTGTCGTCGGCGCCGTTGAGATCTCGGCCCCGTCGCCCCCTCTCTTCCACCGTTAGGCATGTCAAATGGGTCTTAGGGTATGAGTTTTACCCAAACCCAATTGAATTTGGGTCAAATCAGGTTTTGGGTTTTTCTGTTTTGGAGCAGACCCATACCCATCCAATTAAATTGGGTCCAAGATAGGCCCAGAAGATTAATTAAAAAAAAAATCTCTACAGAACCCAAACGGGTCTCCTCATGACCTAATACCCTTAACGAGAGCAATTCCTTTTGCTTCTCCACCATCGACCATCGTATCCCGCCGCCGCCGCCGAAGACGCCGCCGGCCTGCAATCCCGATTCTCGATCAGCGACCATCGGCCCCGACGCCGGCAGCTTCTCCTTTTCCCCACCATCGGACCCCGAGGTTGTGGAAGAAACCCACCTCTCGCTCTTCTCGTGCTGGTCTCGATCTCCAGGTTTGCCCCATCTTCTTCTCTTCTAGATCTTGCCCGGTTTGCTCTCAAGTTCTCTCCTTAATCCTACTCTCGCTTTCTGATTCTCCACTGATCGGCGTTATTCAGTCCCGCTCTTCTCAAGCTCGATTACAGAGTTCATCGAGAGAAAAACCCGTAAAAGAAGAGAAAGAAAAAGGGCATTACAGCTTTCGGCCCTCTTCCTCTTCTTCTTGCTCTCTGGTTTCTCTTCCTGCCACTATTGGATTGCATTTATATATGGGTTTTTGTTCTGGGCAGCTCATCATCTTGTCCAGCAGGCAGAGCCTGCTGCAATTAGGTCCCAATTCCCAAAGCTTCGCCTCCAGAAGTCCCGATTCTTCCTCCCCTCTGAAAATCGCGGCAAAGGGGTCCGCTTGATTTTGGCGGGTAAGTTCTGTATCCATCAACCAGCTGATTTGGCTTGTTCTCTGCAGCTCTGCTTTCTTCTCTGGCTTCTGCTAAGTGAATTTCTACTTTCGATCTTTGCTGAAATCGTTTCATAAAATTCCGCTGCAGATTCTGCTCTGGAGAAGAGGGAAGCTTGTTGGGTCGTATCAGAGTTGATCAAAAGATTGCTCTGAGAGTGAAAAAGTAAGAACATTCTATCACCAATTTTTTTAATTTTTGTCCTTTAAACGGAAAGTATGCAGCTAATCCAGGCAGAGCCTGCTGCAACTTGGCTGTTATCTAGTTGTCACTCCTCAGGAATTTTTCTATTTTACTGCTCATTTCTACTGCAGACAATGGCCTGTTTGAATGTCTCTCCTATAGCTGACATCTGTGGATAGTTATATGTAGTTTACAGTTGAGGATGCTATGTTTTAATTTGCACCACACTATGAAGAAGTTGACAGGAAACCTTATTTTAAGGAGGCCATTATCTGCAGTTCCAGAATTGGACATATGTGGATAGTTATATGTAGAAATGCATCCCTTTATTCATATCTTTGATGTGTCTTGTGGTAATATTGGTATGTTATGTTATTCAGGTTAAGTGAAAATGGCTTCAGAAATAGATGAAACTATTGAATTATCTGAGGTTCCTGAAAATTCTCATACAGATTCTGGTGAAAGCAATAGTGAAGCTCCTACAGTAGTTTCTAATGGCAGTAAACAATTGAGGTCTCATGTATGGAAATACTTTAAGAAAGTATTATTTAGAGGAGAGTTAAAGGCTCAATGTCAACATTGCAAGAAAATGCTTTCAGCTGTGCATGGAACTACTCATTTAGACAAGCACTTGCGAAGATGCCCTAAGATTAAGCACTTTTATAACTTGTTGAAAAAGAAGTTAGGTGCTAGTAGAAGTTCCAGTCCATATATCTTTGACCAAGAGAATAGTAGAAGAGATCTTGCCAACATGATTATCTTGCATGGGTTTCCACTTGCTGTGGTTAATTATGTTGGTGTAAGAAAGTTTGTAAGCTCTCTTCAACCTGCATTCAAAATGATTTCAAGAAACACAGTTAGAAGTGACATCTTGAAGATCTATAAGGAAGGGAGGACTCATGTTATGATGGAATTGGAGAGAAACAGTAGTAGAGTAGCCATTACAACAGACATGTGGACCTCAAACAACAATAAATGTGGGTTTATGGTTGTTACTGCAAATTATATTGATGATTCATGGAGTCTTCAGAATCGAATTTTGAGATTTTTCTATGTTCCCTCTCCTCATACAAAAGATGTGCTTTGTGAAGTACTTTTTGAGTGTATGACTGCATGGAACATCGATAGCAAGCTATCGGCTATCACTCTAGATAACTGTAGTACTAATGATGCAATGGTTAGATCTCTTCTAAGAGAGAAGCTACAAGCGAGTTCACTTCTCTTGGGTGGTTCTCTTTTTCATATGAGATGTGCAGCACATATTATAAACTTAATAGTTCATGAGGGATTATCTATGATCAAGACTTGTATTGAGAAAGTGCGTGATAGTGTTGTCTATTGGACTGCTTCGCCAAAAAGACGACAAAATTTCACTCTTTTGGCAAGTCAAAGACACATTGAATCAAAAGAATTAGCTCTTGATTGTAGGACTCGTTGGAATTCTACTTATGTGATGCTTTCTACTGCCTTGGATTACAAAGAGGTTTTTCCTCGGTTGAGACTACGAGATTCAGGTTATACTACTGTGCCAAGTGAAGATGAGTGGATTATGGCAGAAAAGATTTGTGAGAAGTTAAAGTTGTTTTACAACATCACAGAAGTGTTTTCAGGTTCTACCTATCCAACTGCCAATATTTTTTTCCCCAAGGTTTGTGAGATAAAGGTTTCTTTGAATCAATGGGTGTTATCTCCTGATACATATATTGCAAATATGGCATCACGAATGTTGGAGAAGTTTGATGATTATTGGGATATCATTCATGGAATGATGGCAGTTGCTGCAATTCTAGATCCTAGATACAAGATGAAAATTTTGGTATGGGCGTTTGAACCAATTTATGGTGTTTTGGCTGAACACCATCCGAAGAGGATTAAAGATATTGTTTATGATTTGCTTAATCAGTACAAGAGTTCAGAACCTAATGAGGAGTTTGCAAGTGGTACAACTATGTTTTCTGGGTCGAGTCAACAAGTGGATGATGATTTTCTTGCTGGATTTGATAGGTTTGTAAGCGGTGATCATAGAGTTTCAAATGTGAAAGTAGAATTTAATACTTATTTGAGTGATGGGGTGATACCAAGAAGTGATGAGTTTGATATATTAGCTTGGTGGAAGAATCAAGGGCTCAAGTATCCAACTTTGATGTTGATAGCAAGAGATATTCTAGCCATCTCTGTGACGACAGTTGTTTCAGAATCTGCTTTTAGCACATGTGGGAGATTGTTGAGTCCGCATCGTAGTCGACTTGACGCTAATGCTATCGAGGCGTTGATGTGTTCTCAAAATTGGTTACTAAATGAGGTCAAAGGTATATGATTTATGTTTTTATCAAAGGTATAACATTGTATATCATTGGTTACTAATTGGTTTCAATTTTGACATAGGTGTGTCCAAAGTTACTCATGATTTGAGTCATGCAACTATAGACGATGAGAACGCGGAAGATGCAGATTTTGATGAAGATGGGGAGGAGCATGACAATTGAAGCGGTGCCAAGAGGTGAGTGTTAGATGTTGATTTCGAAACAATTAACGCTGTGGTACTGTGCAAAACCAAAGCTGCTTGTGGCTGAGTCTGAGTGTTATTGTAATGCGTTTAATATGTCGTTTATTTTGTTATGAAAGAACACCTCTTAGTCCGTGATTTAGAATCAATTGTCTGCACGATTACTATGGATTTTGTTATGAGCATATGACTCTTTTGGTGAGTGTGGTATGGTTTCGCAATCTTATCAAAGAGATGCATTCATCGCTCTTGTGCATTACATTTTCATTTTTCTGCCCATTAAACAGCCCGCCACAAGGATTAGTAAGAGATAGTTTGCTACTATTTGGGATGGATTTGGTCCATTATCGATTTCAATGTCGGATTTGTGTGTGTTTGCAGGCAGAAGAGGGACAGGGGGAAAGGCAACGAGATCATTAACTACATGCTGTAATTTTACTTTTTTTCCCCTTCTGAACGTGAACATGAACCATGAGTTGGTATTTTTTGTTTTCTACCATTGAGAATGTTTTTGAGGATGTTTATGGGAGACTAAGACTTAGAAATATTATTTGGGTCTGTTTTCTAATATGCAGGACTTTCAACTTACCAAAATCTAACTTATTCCCATTTGGGTCGGCCCAAATATACAGGCCCATTCTGGACCCAATTTAAACCCAACCCAACCCAAAAAAGTAAAAAGAAATTTGGATCCATCTGAGTCCAAACCCAATGCCCATATGGGTCAAGGTATTTGGGTCAAAAGACCCAATGGGCCTACTGACTCACTCCTACTGTCACTCTAGAAATTGGCCAAGTGTAACCACTTCCTAAAGCGTAGTATAGCGGGTTTGGGTTTTAATGTCAATCCGGGTCCTAGATGTGATGACTACTCAGTGAATTCGTATTATCTAGCAATGAAACTTTAGTGAAGGTCTTAAACTAACAAGCAAGCAAAGCAACTAAACGGTTGTTTTCAAGTTAAGAGAGGTCACCCGGATATGGTTCCCCCTAGTCTGCAGTTAAGCCGGATTGTAATTACCAAGTTCAATTTCTATGATAGTTATACTGCGGAAGGTTCTCAAACAGTCTGAAGTCTCGACTAAAGGTCTTCAGACCCTCTCAATCTGAGTCTCTAGCGGGCGACTAACCTCCACCGGAGTAAACAGATTGAGGCCCTATGAACAAAACCTCCACTACCGGAGTAAAACCGGTACATAATAGTGAGTTGGTTCCTCGACTAAAGTCACCAACTCCCTACCTTCAATCAAGAAAACTCTATTAACCTAGGCAGATATTCTCATTCTAGGTTAAAGCAGAAACAACAGGAATTTGATCAGGATTCATGCCATTCAATCATTCAAACCTCAATCGAATATAATCAATTCATAGAAACAATACTTGGGTTCATACAATCAATCCCAACATACAGAACTAGGGTTTCCCACACCCAGATGAATGGGAGAACTACTCCATGGAGAAAGAAGCAAAAGCAGAATCAGACGCGGAAATCATACTGTGAATATGGATTTCTGCTCCTGGACGTTGAATCGGCACTTCTCCAAGCTCAAGCCAAGCTCCAATGGTGTTGAAGATCAAGCTAGGGCACTTGGAGACTCTTGTTCGTCGCTTTCTCTCTCTAGGAATCGCTCTGTCTCTCTAAAACTCGAATCCCGTTCTGTTTTGACTGAAATCTGCTTAAAAGGGCATCATTGGCCAAAGCACTGTCGAGGGCACGGCCGTGCTTTGCCTCAGCCCGCCCGTGCTTTGGCTAGGGTTAATTACACGGCCACAGAACACGGCCGTGTTCTGAAGGCCTCCTGCCCGTGTTTTTACTGCCGAACCTGTTCCCCTATATTCAATGCTTCGTTTCTCCCTCGTCCGGACTCCGAATCAGTCGCCGTTTGATCCCAGACGCTCGTAGTCTCGTCCTCTTTCTTTTCATGACAGACTTGCACGATTCTTTGTCCATAAGGTGAGGTATAAATCCATTCTTCTTCAGGTCATGCCAGACTTTCTTCTCCCGAATCGCCAATTGATCTCTGATTGACTTGAAACTTGCGCCTATGCTTCACTTTATGTGCTAGGACCTGAAACGTAACAAAGGAACACAACCTAGCGTAAAATAGGCCAAAGAAGCGATAATGCAAGCTTAAACGATCAAGAAACAAAGGGGAAAACATGTGCAAATATCGAGTCATCAAATCCCCCCACACTTAACCGTTTGCTTGTCCCCAAGCAAACCCAGTCAGACACAAGGTAGGCTCAAAACGTTTCAACCAAGCAGGCTTTAGGGCATATCATATCGGCACAAAACACGCGGATCATACTGGCTTTTGGTCATTAACACATGGACAACCTTAACGACAACCTAGACAACCACCACAGATGACATTCGAAAGCAGCAAAGTCGAGCAAAGCAAAAGTCTCCCTTCTGTTCACCAACCAACATAGACTCGACTCAACCACTTATTCAAAACAGTCACTTCATGCACAAAGCTCAAGATATCAGAATTAAGACCGAGCAATCTAGGTCCTCACCGGGATAAAGAGTATAGAGAATATGAGAAAATGAATCGCTCACTCTCGACCAGTGGGGTTAGGACAGTTTGATGCGAAAAATGCGCATGCTTATTCTCTCAATCCCTAACGTCTCTTCACCATGAATGCAGCCTCTAAATGCTAGAGTTCACATATGGGGTGTCACCACTAACTAATCCGGAGGTCTTAGACACAGGTTCAGATGACTGGCTAGGGTCTTGGACATGGGGAAAATGCCTTTTAGGTGGTGGAAGTAATAGCACAAGGTTCCACATTTCCAAACCCAACAAAATAACAGTCAAGCAAACCAGTAACTTCCTTTCTGCTATTCTGCATTACTCAAATTCTTTAGGGCACGAGAGCGAAGGAGGTTATATAAATGTTAGCATTTCCAAGCCAGACTTCTAAGAAACACTACTTAATGGGCACTATTCAGATTTTTGGTGGTGGCTCTCTTTTGCTTTCATTTCTTTCTTTGTTTTTCTTTATTTTTTTTTTCTTTTTTCATTCCTTAAGAGAACCACCACCTCTGCACATTTTTCAAACACACACCCAACTTTTAAGCACTACCTCCAAACCTCACATTACATTTAACAGAAACAGCAGAAAACATGTAAAAACCACTCTGTGGAACCTTCTAAAAGATGCAAAAGGGTGATTTTTCATTGTAGACCGAAAGAAAGGATAACACACGGCTCAAAGGGGTTGACTAGGGGATATGCCACATCAGGACAGTCAATTTGGTCGTGGGCTAATCCTATGCCTCCATCATCTTAGCTAGTGACAACGTGAATGCTACATTTCATGGAAGAGGGATCTATCGCACAAGAAAGAAACGAGCAGGCTCAAATCTCACATGGCTACCTATATGCTCTATCTCACATTCTGATTCCATGAACTAGATGCATAAATGACTGTCAAAAGCAAGTGATCAAACCAAGTCACATTTGGTGAGCAGACAGTTGAAAAACTGAACCCTACACAATTCTACTGCACATCTCAGTCATCACAATAAGTTGTCTAAGTCACACTCAAGTTGTCATGTATCAAGTCAAGAGCCATTCAATTCACTAATCACATCCACAGTGCCAATACGTTCAATCATCAAGCAAACAGCCATGCTTGGAGCCCTCAAATTTAAAAATTTGGATAGTGGACTAGGCTCCAAGCACACAAACAGATCTAATGCAGTCAAAAGATAAACACCCCCCCACACTTAAGATCGACATTGCCCTCAATGGAGAAGAGGGAAGGGAAAGGGGAACGATGTTACCGGTATGCACGGACTGCAGGAGACTGGAAGCGAACCAGTCGAGTGAAGCGGACTGGAGAAGGACCAGTCTGGAACAAAGCACAACTAAAGGGGAACAAAAGAGCTCAAACACAATATGTTAGGTCCAATGGTCAGCCCAATAATACATCATCCAAAACAAAGGAAAACAAACCAAAACCAAACCAGTTTGGAATCCGACTCAAAACACAAGAAAGAAAGTCAAACCGTGGTGGGGTTGCCTCCCCACAAGCGCTTCTTTACCGTCTTTTAGCTGGACGCCCATGGTGGATACTCAGCTGGGTGCAGGAACAGGTACCTCCAAGAGCGGATCCACATCGCTCTTGAGGTACAACTTCAGGTGGTGACCGTGCACCCGACGGTTGCAACCACCAGCAGTGGTCAGCTCGACCTGGCATCCGGCAAGATGCAGGCGAGTGAGTACCCGGACGGCCAAGGTGGTCGGGGTGCAGGGGGTGGGACCAGCTCATAGTGGTCTCCACCTTTCTTCCGAGTAGGCCTAGGCACCTGCTGCTTCGGCCGCCACTCCTCTTTGACCTTTTTATTCGGTGGTGAGACCGGAGGGGGCGGCGGCGAAGGAATGAGAGGGGGGTCCTGCAAAATGGGAGATGCAGACGGATACACGACAGGCTCGTGTACCGGGTTAAAAATAGCATGCACAGGTGTGATAGCAATCATAGCACAGTGATCGAATTCAGTCACAGCAAAGGTAGCCTGTTCATTTCCAGCACGCAGTATCAGTTTACCCTCATGCACATCAATAAGTGCCTTGGCGGTGGCAAGAAATGGTCTCCCTAAAATCAAAGGCACATCCACATCCACATCATCATTTATATCCAGAATAACAAAATCAACAGGATATGTGAATGCACCCACTTTAACAAGCAGATCCTCTATGATGCCCCTAGGATGCACAACGGAACGGTCAGCTAGCTGAATGCTCATCCTAGTAGGGCTAAGTTCGCCTAGGTCTAGCTTTTTGAACAATTTGTATGGCATGACATTAATGCTAGCGCCTAGGTCCGCCAAGGACTTCCCTATATGCATGCTGCCAATAGTAAGAGGGATAGTAAAACTCCCTGGGTCCTTGCGCTTTTCGGGCAGCTTGTACTGCAGGACAGCAGAACATTCCTCGCTCAGCAGCACTGTCGAGAGATCCCCAAGTTCCTTCTTGTTGGTGAGGAGATCTTTCATGAACTTTGAGTACTTGGGCATCTTCGACAGTGCCTCCACAAATGGTATGCTGATGTTGAGCTGCTTCAACATTGCTATAAACTTGCAAACTCAGTCTCCAGCTTGTCTTTGTGTAGGCGAGTGGGGAAGGGAAGCTGGGGTACGTGGTCCTTCACCACTGGTTGTGGCTTGGGAGCAGGGGCTTCCTTCTCCACCCGCACTTCTGCATCACCGGCTGGAAGTGCTGAAGCAGGTAGTGGTTCCTCCTGCCTGGTCGGGGCAGGATCAACCGATGTAGGCCTGCCGCTCCTGGTGAAGATGGCATCCAGCTGCTCGTGCGGGTCCCGTGGATTAGGGATGGTGGTGGCAGGTAGAGTCCCCGGGGCCCGAGTAGTAATCTGGCGAGCTATGGCACCAACCTGGTTCTGTAAATCTTGCAGAATGGCACCCTGGTTCCTCTGTCCTGCCTTCAGAGAGGCTATGCTCTGGTCCACCCTCGTGAAATTCGCCTGGCTGGTGGTCATGAATGCCGCCAAAATGTTCTTCAGCTCGGTCATCTGATTATCGGGAGCTGGCGCTGCTGCTGGCTCGGCATACTGACGCTGGGGCTGCTGGAATGGCTGCCCCTGTCTAGCCTGGAAAGGCTGCCTCTGCTGAAAACCACCTGCTGGTGCCGGGAACCCAGGCGGTTTAGTGGTGGTGCTACTCCAAGCGAAGTTGGGATGCTGGCGCCACCCCTCATTGTATGTGTTACTGTATGGATCGAGGCGCCGAGCATTGGCGATGAAGGCCAACTGTTCTTGGGGAGTAGAGGACTCCCGCATAGCCTGGCAGTCCTCCACCAGATGGTTCGGACTCTCACACCACTGACACTGAGCAGCTGGAGGCGTAGCTACACCTCTGCCCGGGAGGAGACTGTTGGGCTGCTTCAATGTCTGCACCAACTCAGCCACCTGCTGCTCTAACCCGGATCTGGCCTCCATAGCATGCACACCACGGTCCCTGGAATGTCTGCCTCTGCTGCTCTGCCCCCAGGAATGATCGCGGGCAGCCAAGGTACTGATCATCTGGTTCAGCTCGGGTGGAGTCTTAGTGAGAATATCCCCTCCTGGGCATAGAGACTCGATCACCCTCTGGCTGTCTGGGGTGAGGGCATTGTAGAAGTTCCCCACTGTGAACGCATCACTGAAGCCATGATGGGGACACTGCCAGAAGTATCCCATGTACCGTTCCCATGCATCACGAAGGGACTCATCTTGCTCTTGGCGGAAGTGAGTGATATCTCCCGCTGAATCTCTGTGGTCTTCGATGCCGGATAGTACCTGTGCACGAACTTGTCTGCCAGATCGTCCCAAGAAGTGATGGACAATGGGGGCTGGGTCTCCAACCACCTCTTAGCATTCCCCGCCAGAGAATGGGGGAAGAGGTGAAGGCGGATTGCGTCATCCGGAACACCGTTCAACTTGAACCCATTCGTCAGCTGCAGAAAACGGGAAAGATGTGCCCGGGCCTCCTCACCCTTCAAGCCATGGAACTGGATGGAGGATGTAATGAGTTGAATCCAGAATGGCTTGATCTCGAAGTTGTTTGCTGGAATGGGCGGATAGAGGATGACCGGGCGGATGTCAGCAATCCGTGGAGTGTAGTAGTACTCCAAGGTGGGACCCGGTGGTGGTGGTGGAAGCTGATTCACCGGGGGAGCCTGTCGAGCATTCCCCGGTTGTGGGTTGGCTTCGCCCTCCATCTCGTACTCTTCCTCGGGAATCGCTGGTCAAGTGGCCGTCTATGCGCTCTCCCGTAACCAGTCTAGCTCGCTGTTGTCTCCTAAGTTGGCGGCAAGTGCGTTCAAGCTCTGGATCCAACGGCAGTAAACCTCCTGACTGGCTACGGGTCATGCACTATCTGCACACACTCAAGTAATGCAAACCCGTGAAGGCACAAGTGGGAAAGAACAAACAACTAATGCGAAAATGAAAATGCTAAAGTAACAGAAATCACTTTTCTTCAACAACCTAGCCGTCCCCGGCAACGGCGCCAAAAACTTGACTCACTCCTACTGTCACTCTAGAAATTGGCCAAGTGTAACCACTTCCTAAAGCGTAGTATAGCGGGTTTGGGTTTTAATGTCAACCCGGGTCCTAGATGTGATGACTACTCAGTGAATTCGTATTATCTAGCAATGAAACTTTAGTGAAGGTCTTAAACTAACAAGCAAGCAAAGCAACTAAACGGTTGTTTTCAAGTTAAGAGAGGTCACCCGGATATGGTTCCCCCTAGTCTGCAGTTAAGCCGGATTGTAATTACCAAGTTCAATTTCTATGATAGTTATACTGCGGAAGGTTCTCAAACAGTCTGAAGTCTCGACTAAAGGTCTTCAGACCCTCTCAATCGGAGTCTCTAGCGGGCGACTAACCTCCACCGGAGTAAACAGATTGAGGCCCTATGAACAAAACCTCCACTACCGGAGTAAAACCGGTACATAATAGTGAGTTGGTTCCTCGACTAAAGTCACCAACTCCCTACCTTCAATCAAGGAAACTCTATTAACCTAGGCAGATATTCTCATTCTAGGTTAAAGCAGAAACAACAGGAATTTGATCAGGATTCATGCCATTCAATCATTCAAACCTCAATCGAATATAATCAATACATAGAAACAATACTTGGGTTCATACAATCAATCCCAACATACAGAACTAGGGTTTCCCACACCCAGATGAATGGGAGAACTACTCCATGGAGAAAGAAACAAAAGCAGAATCAGACGTGGAAATCATATTGTGAATATGGATTTCTGCTCCTGGACGTTGAATCGGCACTTCTCCAAGCTCAAGCCAAGCTCCAATGGTGTTGAAGATCAAGCTAGGGCACTTGGAGACTCTTGTTCGTCGCTTTCTCTCTCTAGGAATCGCTCTGTCTCTATAAAACTCGAATCCCGTTCTGTTTTGACTGAAATCTGCTTAAAAGGGCATCACTGGCCAAAGCACTGTCGAGGGCACGGCCGTGCTTTGCCTCAGCCCGCCCGTGCTTTGGCTAGGGTTAATTACACGGCCACAGAACACGGCCGTGTTCTGAAGGCCTCCTGCCCGTGTTTTTACTGCCGAACCTGTTCCCCTATATTCAATGCTTCGTTTCTCCCTCGTCCGGACTCCGAATCAGTCGTCGTTTGATCCCAGACGCTCGTAGTCTCGTCCTCTTTCTTTTCATGACAGACTTGCACGATTCTTTGTCCATAAGGTGAGGTAGAAATCCATTCTTCTTCAGGTCATGCCAGAGTTTCTTCTCCCGAATCGCCAATTGATCTCTGATTGACTTGAAACTTGCGCCTATGCTTCACTTTATGTGTTAGGACCTGAAACGTAACAAAGGAACACAACCTAGCGTAAAATAGGCCAAAGAAGCGATAATGCAAGCTTAAACGATCAAGAAACAAAGGGGAAAACATGTGCAAATATCGAGTCATCACCTACCCATTGACAAGATGATCCACCGTCGCCGTCCTTCTCTCCTCGCTGCTTTTCTCTCTCTCTCTCTCTCTCTCTCCTATGGCCTGCAATGCGACGCAGAAGAGGATGCCTGGAGGAAAAAAAAACAAAATGAATTTTTCATAATCCCAAAATTGCCCTTCTCATTATTTAATTATTCCTATCCTATTTTCCACCGTTAGATTCATTAATAAAGATCCAACAGCTAGGAGGGGCTTAGCCAAGTGACTAAGCACCCCCCCCCCTAGTCACCAGATCTGCACTCTAGAGAATGGGCTGAGCATGAGAATCTTCAGTCGAAATTTGATTGCTCTGTGGTTCACACTGTGTTTATTCTTTACAGTTGTTGTCGTGTTTGTAAGTGTTAATGGATGGGATCGAAACCGCCAGGCACAAGTACTGGCCCAGTATCTAGAATAAGGTTGTCAACCCGCGGGCTGACCCGCACCTGGTCGAGATAGTGGGTCAAGAGTTAATGAGTCATCTAGTTTAGCCCGAAATATGGAAATAATTATTATATTATACTTATCCTCATAAATTATATCAAATCTCATCTTGCATATGAGTTATAACATATAATATTACACCAAAATAACATGTCGTACTTAGATTCAACATATAGTGAAAATTCACTCACACTTATATAATATCAATATTCAAATGTTCAACTTAACATTCTAAAGATTGAGTTGGGCGAAAAGAAAAATCGGAAAATAAGTGCATTTCGTAAACCAAAGACAAAAATGACACAATTTGACCTCCAAAAGGGTACCTTGTAGCGGTCGACCCGGCGGGTGCGTACGGCCCGTTTTTCTCACCGGGCCAGAGTCAGAATAGGTCGACCTGCGGGTTGACAACCTTAATCCAGAATCAATTAACTTAGTCATATACCATAATGAGAATGTCCTAATCATGAGATGTAAAACTAAATGTTATACCAAGAAGATGGAATCGATTATTACCGACAATGTCCGCCGTTCAAAATTTGTTGATAAAATCCTGAAAAAAATAGGATAACCGTAATCCTGTTTCAACTATGATACATTGTTCAACTAGTTCGGCCTAGCAATCCAATACGATTTCACAAAACAGATTCCATGTCTAGAATAAGTATTGACTAGATAATCCTTGGCATAGCTCGAGGCCTACAATACCTGCACGAAGATTCCCCTTTGAGAATCGTGCATAGAGACATCAAAGCAAGCAATGTTCTTCTGGACGACAAGTTCCAGCCCCGGATCAGCGATTTCGGGCTGGCCAGATTCTTCCCTGAAGACCAAGCTTATCTCAGCACCACATTTGCAGGGACCTTGTGAGTTCTTCTAAATCAACTTCAAGTACCAGTCTCAAATCAAAAGAATTTCCAAATTCACTAATCTTTGTCGTTCATCAGGGGAAACACAGCCCCAGAGTACGCGATCCGGGGCGAGTTGTCAGAGAAGGCCGACATCTACAGCTTCGGAGTGCTCCTTCTTGAGATCATCCGTTGTAGGAAGAACACAGATCTCAACTTACCAACAGAGCAGCAGTACCTTCCTAAATACGTTAAGTGTGTTTCCTTGCTCAGTTTTATGAGGCCTAGCCATCCCAATGGTGTCAATTACATTTTCTCTTGCAGGCGTGGAAGCTATACGAGAAAAACAAGGTGAACGAGCTGATAGATCTGAGGCTCCGAGAACACAGGATCGTGGAGAGAGATGTGGTGCATGTGATCCACGTGGCGTTCTTGTGCATTCAACCGCTGGCGAACCTGAGGCCTCCGATGTCTGAGGTGGTGGCAATGCTGACGTGTAAAGCTGATGCAGGGGCACCCATAAGGCCGGCATTCTTGGACAAGAGGAGGAGAGCAGAAGGGAGCTTCTCTTGGGATGTTATCTCAGAAGCTTTCCCTTCTCCCTATGGGAGTCTTGAATCTCACCCTGCATCACGAGCAAAGGAAGAGGCTGCTTGATGTTCAAGTAAGCTAAACAAAACAAAGCAAACACATTGTAGTTAATCCCTAATCCAAAAGACATCCTGTATTCTTGTGTAGTTCTTAAAGTAGGGAGGACGTAGAGCTAGGGTTTTCTTCCTTTTCCCCCTTAATTCTTCTCAGGCTTTTGAAAATTCACTTGGATATTTTGTATCCTTCAATTTCAGAGGTTATAGGAATTCCACACAAGACACAACAGTTGAACTAATACCTTGTGTAGAGAGAAACAGGTGTCTTCCTACCCCAATCTAGTGATGAGTTCAGAATTGAATCTGACTGTACAATACTATTATATCTATCAAACGTCTCTGTACCTGTCACTTATCTATCTTTAGACTTCAGTTCATCGGTTCAAAATTTCACCTAAATATGTTATAAATGAGATCGATTAATTCATAGCAAGCATATCTATGTGGTAAAATTCTTGTTTTAACCCACAATTCGACTTTCGGATTCCACATATCGCTTCCCATTTATTCATTAAGGCCAGGCAGATTTCCAGTATACATGACATGTGAATCATTAGGGACATGCTTAGTAATAGTAACCATTCGTTGAAAATCATAATACAAATATACGTATAATTAACTAACACAGTACAGAAACTAAAGATGTTATCATTAATCCCAGAAGCTAAACAAACTTCTTATCCTTATAACTCTAGCTATAAAAATCCAAAACAAAATCTTACAGTACAATGTGCAATTACTTTCTCAGCTCTTTGATGCTTCCGAAATGCTTGGGATATCTACCGACAATTGCTGCTTGAATACCTGAAGATCAGTAAGATTTAAGATAGTAAATTTACTACTACATTCTTAGCAGCAAAAAGAAAATCTGCAGTGGGGTAGAGAAACTTTATATTACCATTTTGAAGTGTTCAAGTTCTCCCCTTAAATCCTTCTTCATTTCCTCTGAGAGCGAAATAGGTTGGTCTCCTGCATGCTTCAATACCTGAACACTCCATCAGGTCAATTGAGCATAAAATTTTCTTGCAAAAGGCAGCTTAAAAGAGAAACAATACCAGTCTAAATCCCCCACCGAGAGGTGAAAGTTCCATATCTTGGAAGTTCAGGCGTTCGTTCTTCTGCAATACTACTGATATCCTAATGATAGTACAGAGACCTTGAAGTTTCTGCCTGAACTGAAAATCAACACATGAATGCATGAGAAATATTCCCCTACCTCAACCCTCTTACAACAGTATATGGTACAAGAAGTAACAAATACCTCTTCTGGAGTCTCGGCCAAAGAAGCCTGATAAGGTTTTGGGAATTTCTTCGTGTGATGCCTCACCAGAAGTGCTATTAACTGCAATGTTAGGAATAAGGTTGCTTGAGCAGACAGGCTTCGCAACCAAACAGTCTTTTGTCCATAAAACCACAAACCGAAAGGTGCCCCCAATAGTTTACCTTGATCTCTTCAGTACTGAAACCGTAAAGATGGTTTCCTTCCTAAAGCAAGAGACACATTCATCAGCACATAATCTTATAAACATTTACATTTAGTAAGGAAATTGAATGCTGCTAATGATGCAATGCATACCATGATAACACGATAAGACTGCTTGTGGTAACCCCTTTTACCAGCGAAAAGCCCTATGGCATGAAGCAAACAGGCTGCCTCAAGGCACTCGAGATCCTCGCCCCCCAAGTCAATGAGCTTACCACAGTGCCTCAAGCCTTCAAATATACCCTGCCACAATCATCATCAACTCAGATTAGAGATCAAACAATGTATGTCAATCAACAACAAGCAGAAAACACGAATCTTACCTTGGCAAAGGCGGCACATCTAGCGCCATTCTTAACCCTCTTCTTATCATTAAACCTGGTAGCAAGTCTCACAACAGAATTCCACCTGGGATTCGCATTCAATTTGAAACCAACTTCATTGAATTCCTCCTTCAGAGCGTCAGCAACGACACCTTCTCCCAATGCATACTCGGAAACTTCCATTTCTTCAATCCCAAGCAACTCAAATATCTCCTCCAATAACAGAGCACCAGCCACAATAAATTCTGATCTCTTCTTAAAAAGCTCCTCTCTTATCTCCTTCTCTTCTTGCCCTTCTTCTGTACATAACCTCTCAACAACTCTCTTCAATTCCACTCTGCTGAATCTCCAATCCCTCTTCACGTGCCTCCTCAACAGCTCCTCAGCTGACTTGTCAGTTTCAGCTGCCACGTTGAGTAAATTGTAGCTGAGAGTTCCATCAAGAGAGACAAAGTTAAATGATCAGAGGGAAAGCCTTGCTTACCATCGCCATAGCCATGAAACACTGCTTTCTCGACTGCTCCAATCGTTCCCGAGCTTCCAACAGCGACCTCAAACCCGAATCTCTTCACTTGCTGAACCAATCCAGAGTCCTTCACAGCTGCCCTGATGAAATTCCTCATTCCTCCTACCACATCTCCACCAGCGAATCGCTGAGTCAAACTCACATGACCTAGCTTCAAACTCGTCGCGAAATCGACGATCCCTCCTTCCCCAATCGCGAACTCAGTCGATCCGCCTCCGATGTCTATGAGCAACGCTCTCTTTTCCCTGACCGGAAAAAACTGAATCACTCCGGAGTAGGCGAGTCTCGCCTCCTCTTCCCCGGAGAGAACGGAAACGTCGAGCCCGGTGGCTGCGCGAACGGCTTCGACGAGCTCGGATCCGTTGGCGGCCTCCCGGACGGCGGAAGTGGCGACGCAGCGGGTTCGGCTAGGCGGGATCCCGCGAGCGCGGAGGATTTCAGTGAACTGGCGGAGGCATCGGAGAGCTTCGAGGACCGCGTCGGGGGAAATCGACGGGGAGGAGTTTGATGATGCGGCGGCGGAGTCACGGCCGAGGCAGACACGGTCGGAGTGGCGGACGACGGTGAGGAATCGGCCCGACGGCGGATGGAATTGGACGATGATCATCTTGATGGAGTTGGTGCCCATGTCGATGGCGGCAAATAGATCGTCCGGCAGCGCCATGGGAGAGGAATGGAAGTTTTGGGGGGCGCGAAATGCTTTTGCCTGCTTACGATGGCGGCAAATAGATGCTTTAGCGGCGGAGCAACTTCTCGGAAGCCAAAACGAACGGCGAAGCCGAACGCGAGCCGCCTACGAAAATTCTCGGAACGGCGTTTGCGACTGGAAAATTGGAGATAGTCAACGGAGGGCCGGCGGGAAACGAAGGAAGAAAGGAGGCCAGTGAGGGAAACACGGGGGTGCAGACTGCAGAGAGAAGTCCGAAGACTGAAATCCCCCGGCAGAAAAAGGAATGAATTGCGAGAAGGTGTGCGAAACGCGATACATTTAGGCGCGAGATGTTGAATTCCTCAGGGAAACACCCGATGTATCAGGAAAAAACATTAGTCAGTCATGAAAATACAATGATGGATAAAATATAGGCAACAAATTTCAATTATAGTTGTTGACACCTAAAATTATTTTAGACCGAATTTAATGCCGCATGGAGTAGTCTTGGCATTTAATTCGATATCGCATGATATGAAACGGCGTCGTTTAGTATTGAGCAATGTCGCGGAGAGTTTAATCGACACCGCGAATAAACTCGACGGTACCGCGGTACTGGAAACGATACTGTTCGGTAAAAACTATGTCGCGAGCCTGAGTTACGAATTTATCCGGCTTCACAATGTGTGAGTCATGGGCCGCAGGAATTGTATTGTTGTTGGACAAGGAGTGTTTTTGTTATATTCCTTGTCAGAGGAGGAGAGAAACAACACCGTTTGTAATCAAGCAATGTCATGAAGAGATATAACGGTGCCGCGAAACTCAAAGCTCAACGGGATTGTGTGACTGGGAAACGATGTTGTTGACTAAAAACGACATCGTCGAAATCCCAACAACACTACGATACTGGCAAACGAGGTGAGTCTTGGTTAAGGAACCAAGATTGACAGTGTTTAATCGAAACAATGTCACGATGACCAAGTTTTCAAAATGGGTGGTTTAATTAATTAATATTTTTAATAATTATTTTGGACGGTGTCGTTTAGTTGGTGAAAAATGGTATTATTTTTTTTTTGGATCTCCTATGACTAAGCTTCAAGTGAAACAGAAAAATCTTTGACTAGGCCTAAATGAAAGATAAATAAAGCAGTCTAATTGTCTTTTGGACAATGACAGTGTTTAATATAAAACAATGTCACGGAGGAAAAACAAACAGAGCTGTTTAGGGAAGAAAACGACACCGCGAGCAAGCCCAACAACTGCGGTACTTGAAACGACACTGTTTAGTAGAAAACAATGTCGTGAACCATGGGTCATGGATTCATTCGACAAAGGTCTGCATCACAACTGTGGTCTCGGCGACGTCGCAGAGTTGAAAACGATATCGGGTGAGGTCCCAGCAATGGCGCGGTATTGGTGAGCGATGTCGTTTGATTAAAAACAATATCACAGTGGTAAGAGACGGCCCGCCAAGTTCAACGAGGTTGTTTAGCACAAAACAACATCGTGAGTTCAGATTTGACCATTTTTATTTAATTAAAACAAGTAAAATGCAAACGGCGTTGTTTGGTGAAGAAAACAACGCCGAATAGGCCCAACGATGTCGCGACATTAGAAACGGCATTGTTTGGAAGGGAGCAATGTCGTTGAGCAGGGGCCATCAATGTTGCGAAGTGAGATGTGGTGCCGATGTTGTTTAACCAAAACGACATTGACCACTGTCAATCTTTGTCGACTTAGGAAATATGGTCGACGTTGGGCCATTAAACTTGTTTTGCATGACAATAAAAGAAGGTCGTGAGGTCATCACCAAGATTGGTCTAGCTTGGAGAAACTCAGCAACACCGTGAATTCAATAAAGTTCGGGCATCAATGGTGGGAATTCGACGATGCCGGGGTACTAAGAATGACGTTGTTTGGTAGAGAGCAACGTTGTGAGTCAAAAGTGGCATTGATATTGTGAGTTTATCGATGTTGCACGGCCGGGAGCTCAACGCTGCGATGTTGTTTTGCTACGTCGTCGTTTTATGAACAAGGGTGATTGTTGTTTGGTTTGAGGAGCTGGGGTGGATTATCAAACCCGGGTGGATAACAATAAGGTTGGCTCAACGTTGTTTTGCTAAGTCTCTACAGAACGAATTCGCATGCGTGGGTGGCACGCAACGAAGTGGAAGTTACCAACACGGTTGAGGGAATGGAAAACATGGGAGGAAAAGACGCGAAGGCGGTTACTGCGACTATAGGCAGAGGATTGGAGTATAAATATCGCGAAGAGAGAGAAGCCCGAGAAGGCAAAATCAAATCACCAACTGCACCGTCGCAGAATCTATCTTTGTTCTCTCTAGTTCGTAGAACTGCTCTGTCAAAGATCTCATTTGCAGAGTCGTAGTAGTCATAGAATCGTAGTTGTAGTCGTGGAGCTCTCCAGAGAAACCTCCATAGGTGTAGAGGTAACGTAATTTAGAAATCCTCCTTGTTTCCTCCTTGTTCGTCGAACAAACTCGTTCGAACATTGTTTGAAGAGCTGTGAATCGAGTAACGATCATTCTTGGTTAGAAGTCAGAGGTGCATCGATCAAATTAACATCGCCCGACACCCGGCGGTGGATATTTGACGGTCATTCTTTGATCTTGTGTTCTTGTTTTTCCTTGAAAACAGAGCGCATTAAACATGCATGTTTTGCCATCGAAACAAATTGGCACACCTGGTGGGACCCGTGTGTTCCTGATGCCTTCGCGATGAAGGAATCTGGAAGGGGATGTTTCCCCCGGCTTTGTGGAGGAATAGGTGGTCAGCATTGAAGGTGGCCAAGAAATCGGTGCTGAAGACAGCGGCGGGTTTTAGAATCTGCCTTCCACAGTTGGGTCGATTGAGGATTTGTCAATCCGCCATTTCATGGAGGAGAATCGCCAGATGTTTGATAGTCTCATAAATGAGGTAAGCCAGCAGAACAACTCTCTCGAGTCTTGTGTTGACAGGCGTTTAGGCCAAATCTTTGAAGTTGTGACTAAAAAAAAGCATGATTTTGATATTTTTGTGGATAAAAATCTTCGTGAGATGAATGAAAGTAGAGAACTTTTGGGTAGACCAGTGATGCAAACTCGGGATTTGCCGCTAAACGGTGAAAAAAATTTAAATAACGAAACTGGTTTTCCAAACAATGGTGCTCGAATTAGCCCGCCGAGATAGGGAGTTCCACCGACACCGGTGATGAACCCACCAACTCCGCAAGTGAATCTTGTCGAGACTAGCACTGCCGCTAACACTCATGTTGAACCACCGCCATTTCACGGTGGGGGTCCACAAAATATCTCGGAGGACAGACCCTATGTGGCTCCGATGAGTGGTGTTGTTGGTGGAGGAACGATCAACAATGATCATGCTCCACCACGCGGCTACCTGAAAAACGTGCCTCCTCTTACAAACATGCATGGTGTGGATCCTGGTGGATTCATGCCATCCGAGACGTGAACGCCATCCGAGGAGGCAAGACGTGAACGCCATCCGAGATCAAGTAGTACAGATGCTGGCGGTCAGTTTGGTTTATGGATTAGATCAAAGATGCCGCCGGTGTACCGAAAACCATATCCGGACTGGGTTGATAGGTACTACCCTTTTCCACGTGGTTTTCGTGCTCCTGATTTCATCACCTTCAACGAAACAACAAATCAGTCCACCGTCGAACACGTTGGACGATTTACTGTTTAGTGTGGCGACGAAACAATGTTGTTTTAATTTTCTCCTTTTACTTGCCTGCGTTATCTCTCAACAGTTTTGAGACTTTTTGATTGGTGAAGAAAAGCATCACGAAAAAAAAAATACTTTTTGCCAAAACAGCACCGTTAAGGGGAAAACGGAGCTGTTAGTGGAGGAAAACATAAATGGTTAATGATGACTTGATATATACACATGTTTTTACCCACCATTCCCGTACCGTTTGAGTCTTATCTCTCGTGTTTTAGGCCGATTTCACGCTAGGTTGTTCTTGTTTGTGATATTTCAGGTCCTAGTACGTGAAAGAACGTTTGGGCACGAGTTCAGGGTCGATTGGACGAAGTTGGGGCGTTTTACGAAAAGCTGGAAATTCCACACGGGCAGACCTAAATTCCACACGGCCGTGTGGAATTCCATGATGCGGGCAAGCCACACTGGCCATGTATAGGACCCCTTGTGGCCGTGTGGAAAGTCCAGGGAGCTCACACGGCCAGACTGGAAATCCACACGGCCGTGTGGTTTTGGCCGTGTAGCGTACCTGAAGCCACTTAAGTGAAACGCGGCGTTTTGCACTTCCACACGGGCAGCTGGGGATTTCACACGGCCGTGTGATCGGGCAGAACTGGGTTTTAACCCAATTTTGGATCTTTTGAAGGGGGAATCGAGTTTTTGAGCAAGAAACAGAGCCCTAGAGAGAGAAAGTATGAAGAACACATCCTAGAAGTGATTTTGGAGCTGGGTTTCATCAATCGAGCCTAGAGATCATCATAGGAGTGAAGATCATCATCCTAGAGCAAATTTTCCTCATCTTTATGAGTATGACTACTCTGATTTCTGTTTTCCTCTCTCTCCCTCTCTCTCTCTCTCTATGGAGTAGAACTTTCTCTCACTTGGGTATGAAGAACCCTAGTTCCATGTGTTAGGGATCTTGATTGTAATGACTTGGGATTGTTACACTGATTGGTTTTAATCGATTGATGCATGATTCATTGAGTAAATTGAAGTCTGATCATCTTTTCTTGATTTCTGCTGCAACCTGAGATAGATAGAATCTGATTAGGTTGCTAGAGCTTCATCAATCGGTAGTGGTAGATTGATTATACGAGAGTTAATCAATTTAATGCTTTGTACTAGAATCCAATTCAAGTAGAGGAGTTCTGGGTTTATAGCCTCAGCTTTCTATCCCGGTGAAGACTAGTCGTCTGCCGGGTAGTTGGACTGAGAGGGCTTGGTCAGCTTAAGAGATTCATAGCTACTGTCGGATCTTCCGCAGTTTAATCAACAGTTAATCAACCCAGGGTAATTACAACCTCGACCTAACTAAGGAGCTAGGGGGACTCATTCCCGAGTGACTCTTCCCTTGCTAAAGAACTTTGAACCATTTCCTGCTTTCTTACTGCTTTTAGTTAAAATCACAATCACTCGACTTAGTTTGCTAGATGATAGATATTCACGGAGCAGGAAGTAGATCTAGACCCCGGGTTGACAAATATAGCTTGCCTGTTACTGGATTTCCGGACTGCGATTACACTTGGTCGCAGTTTGGTGTTGCGTTTTAGCGTGTCAAGTTTTTGGCGCCGTTGCCGGGGACCTCTAGGTTATTGGGGAAACATGAAAGTTT